CTTATATTAATGATTATTTCTCATCTCTGTTTTCTCGTAATTTTCTATTGTATTATTTAATAATTATTAGTTGTAATTATATTTTATTGTATTAGTAATTATTCTGAGAATGTGTAAGTAAACTGAAAATATTTTTCAATTTTCAAATTTCGTCAACGTTATTTCTTTCATAATCCAATTATTTTATGTGTGACTTGTGGTACCTCGGTTATGGGACACCATGGATTATTTCTTAAAAAATGTGTTTTTATTTTTTTCTTAAAAATGAATAAATATTTACTAAATATACTTATTAACCTTTGAACACCACCGTGGGTTACGGTAACCCAGTCCGTTTGAAAAAACGCGTTGCGTTTATGAACGATCAGAAGTGTGGAGTGGGAACAAGGGGGGGAAAAAACTTTCGCATCCCTGCTACATATTCCCCGCCTGCAACCACAGCGTGCACGAACCAGTCAAGATAGAACGCCATGAACTTACTGTGTGGTAGGGATGGGCGATGTTTCATTGATTATACAAAAATCGATGTTTTTGCCCATCTAATAGGATGGACAAAGACATCCATTTTTGTATAATCAATGAAACATCGCCCATCCCTACTGTGTGGGTTACGCTCACTCTGTGCGGTTGACGTTTTTTATTTCGAAATCAAATTGTAAGTAAATATACGAACAAGATTGCGAATTCAAATCGAAGAATTCATGAAACACACAGACATTCAAGAAAATCACGATCCACGCGATATATTAGCTGTAAACAAAATAGAAAAAGAAAGAAGATGTTCATTCTGTCCAGGGGCTTTAGATAGGAAAACTTATTACATATGCTTGCAGTGCCAACAGACAATGTGTAGGGAAGATGTCGCAAAAATTTGTTTCGCCTGTTCGACGCAAATCAATGAATAATTTTATTTGTATATTTAGATGTCATATAATAAAGACTTTTGCACTAACTTTATCGTATTACTTGAAAATCACCCAAATTCAACCTCATCGAATAAATATATTTTTTAGGATAATTCGTAATGATGTATTTTTTTTCTTAAAATACAGCTTAATATGTTTCAATTTCTATAAATTAAAACCTTGTATCATTTTTTTTGAAAAATAACTAATTTATTTAAAAAACAATAAATTTTTTTTTAATTTTGAAATTTCTTTCTTCTTTTTTTTCAAAACATCTTGGTTTTCGGAAGTTTTATGATTATCTTATCTATATATTCTTTTTCCGTGCTGTCTGTTGTATCGATTAAAAAGAAAAAGAAGTTAAAATTGATACATTAGATCCCGAGATAAAAGTAAAAGAAGACTCTAGAGTTATCGTAACCCATGTGTGGTGAAATCAGTTGGCGAAAATAGTGTGGTGTTCAAGGGTTAAATAATAAGTAATAATAAGGCTCCACAAGTATAAAACAATTTAGAATAAATGAAGGACGAAGTGCCAGTAATGTAACAAAAAATTTTAATTTAACACAAAAATAATTACACATACGTTTCGACACCAATTGAGTAATTCTCAATGTACGGTAACTAAATTATTATCGAAAATCTATATAGTTAACAATATTCATGTCCTGTGTTATAATGTTGCCAGTTAATAAATTAGACATATTTGAAAATTCTCGGCAGGAAAACCGTAATAATCTCACACAAAAAAAATGAATTCTTAAAGAAATGCATAAATGCTTTAATTCCAGAATATTTTATGCTTAGAATAGCGCCAAGAATAAACAATTTCCGATTAACAATAAATTATTCGTAAAATAAAATAAATTTTAGTCTTAGTTCAAAACAAATTTTATTTTAATAAAAGAATATATGTAGTTGCACTCATTCAACACTAAATATGCTTATATTAGCATTATTTTGTCTTCAATAAAACCTTTTGTCTACTTATTTCAAACCCCCAGTATGCTTTTTAGTAACATCAAGATGACAGAAACCAATGCTGCAGTAAGTGACGATAGCTTTGTACCAGGTATGTAAATATGAAACCGGAATTTTTTAATATAGAAAATACACGTTTATTGCAAGAAAATGGTAAAAAATATTTTATTCGAAGTATTGCCCATCGCTAGCTATTATTTTTCCCACCTGTCTGACAATTTGTGGATGCCACGCCAAAAAAATTGTTGCTTTTTTGAGCCAAACCAGTCATCTAGCCATTTTCGTACAT